GTGTCAACCAGGAAGTGGGGAAATATGGCTTGCGTTCACACTGCAGGTCTTAGATTAGACTTTTTTGCTCAGATATTTCTTTCAGCGATGTGTCACGTTATTATTAAAACATGACCTCTTTCAAACTTCAGTTTGAACTATATCAATTGTTTGTTGTTGTTTGTTAGTTACACTAATTTTTTCTTTCTGTTCATTCATTTTCCTTTTACTTTATTTAACCAGATTTAAATGTGATGTTGGACGTCTGTATTTTTATATTCTGCAGAACAGGAACTCGCTGTTAAGCATGAAAAATGCTGAGCCAGTCCTGATTTATTTCAACATTTTCCTGTTTTAAAAATCAAATGAAATCAAAATCCCTTTGATATCTCCTTTGTAAGGGGGACCTGTGCACAAATAAACAAGACATCAAAAACAAACTGGAATGGACCACTCTGGAAGCTGGAGGGGGGCGGGGTTTTAAGCGCCTTGTTTGGATTTAAAGAAACAGCCTCAAAAGGAGTCGACAGATATCAGAAAAGGGGTGAAAGAGGGGCTTGTGGAGTTACAAGAGGAATTCATACCAAAGTGTTGCAGTTCCACTTTATTTAGACCAGGAGTGGGCAATCCTGGTCCTGGTGGGCCGCAGCCCTGCATGTTTTACTTGTTTTTCTACTCCAACACACCTGATTTGAATGAATATATGATTATCAGGCTTCTGCAGTACGGAGGACCAAAACTGACTTAATTAGAAATAAAAGCAGAATTATATAAATGAACTATTAAATAAATACACTTAAAGACACCAATTAGAGAACTTTATCTCCTGTTTTATATTTTAATGACTTTAATATTTATTTTTCCAGGTTAGTTTCAATGGTCTATACATTTTGACACCTAATTTAAAATTTACTGTTTTTTTTTTACATATGTATTAATTGTTTTTCCTTTACTTGTACATGCATTTGTGTGTCTTAAATGTTTATATTTAATTATGTTCACATATTTTCCAATAAGTCTTTTTATTTCAACGTGTTGCATGCTTGTGCTGCCTAAATTTAGCTTAAAGTTTAAAGTTTAGTTTAACACAAAGGCAAAGAGGATTACCTCTGCCTTTATTTAAAAAATATATATATATAAAATCATTAAATTTAAGCATTTAAAGAGACACAAATGCATGTGCAAAAAAGGAAAAACTATATAAAAATATATATTTAAAAAAACTGTAAAATTTAAATTATGTGTTAAAATATACACTCACCGGCCACTTTATTAGGTACACCACGCTAGTAACGGGTTGGACCCCCTTTTGCCTTCAGAACTGCCTCAATTCTTCGTGGCATAGATTCAACAAGGTGCTGGAAGCATTCCTCAGAGATTTTGGTCCATATTGACATGATGGCATCACACAGTTGCCGCAGATTTGTCGGCTGCACATCCATGATGCGAATCTCCCGTTCCACCACATCCCAAAGATGCTCTATTGGATTGAGATCTGGTGACTGTGGAGGCCWTTTGAGTACAGTGAACTCATTGTCATGTTCAAGAAACCAGTCTGAGATGATTCCAGCTTTATGACATGTCACATTATCCTGCTGAAAGTAGCCATCAGATGTTGGGTACATTGTGGTCATAAAGGGATGGACATGGTCAGCAACAATACTCAGGTAGGCTGTGGCGTTGCAACGATGCTCAATTGGTACCAAAGGGCCCAAAGAGTGCCAAGAAAAGATTCCCCACACCATGACACCACCACCACCAGCCTGAACCGTTGATACAAGGCAGGATGGATCCATGCTTTCATGTTGTTGACGCCAAATTCTGACCCTACCATCTGAATGTCGCAGCAGAAATCGAGACTCATCAGACCAGGCAACGTTTTTCCAATCTTCTCTTGTCCAATTTCGATGAGCTTGTGCAAATTGTAGCCTCAGTTTCCTGTTCTTAGCTGAAAGGAGTGGCACCCAGTGTGGTCTTCTGCTGCTGAAGCCCATCTGCCTCAAAGTTCGACGTACTGTGCGTTCAGAGATGCTCTTCTGCCTACCTCGGTTGTAACGGGTGGTTATTTGAGTCACTGTTGCCTTTCTATCAGCTCGAACCAGTCTGCCCATTCTCCTCTGACCTCTGGCATCAACAAGGCATTTCCGCCCACAGGACTGCCGCTCACTGGATGTTTTTTCTTTTTCGGACCATTCTCTGTAAACCCTAGAGATGGTTGTGCGTGAAAATCCCAGTAGATCAGCAGTTTCTGAAATACTCAGACCAGCCCTTCTGGCACCAACAACCATGCCACGTTCAAAGGCACTCAAATCACCTTTCTTCCCCATACTGATGCTCGGTTTGAACTGCAGGAGATTGTCTTGACCATGTCTACATGCCTAAATGCACTGAGTTGCCGCCATGTGATTGGCTGATTAGAAATTAAGTGTTAACGAGCAGTTGGACAGGTGTACCTAAYAAAGTGGCCGGTGAGTGTACAATTTATTGGAACTAAGTTGGAAAAATAAATATGAAGGTAAATTAAATTATAAAACTTGAGCTAAAGTTCTTTTTTAATTTATTTGGTGCATTTTAAACATATTTATTTATTTAGTGGTCCATTTATTTGTTTCTACTTTTAATTCTAATTATGTCAGTGTCGGTCCTCCATACAGCAGAACTTGGAAGAGATAGTTCAGAGACTGAATCAGGTGTGTTGGAGCAGGGAAACATGTAAAACATGCAGGACTGCGGCCCTCGAGGACCATGATTGCCCACCCCTGATTTAGACCTATGTAGGATTTAAATATGAAAAAGGATTTAAAAGCATGACATTTAAGATGGTTTTGACATGCGATAGGCGATATGCCTTCAAGAAATGTTAGGTCTTTAACTGTGTCATATGGCTGCAGCTTTTAAGTTTGAAACTATTCAGTTCGATGCTTGACACACTCCACTGTCCTTTTTCTTTTCAGACCAAAAGAAGAAAATATTTCTACTTATTCAAACCCCCAGTGAGTGTTTTTTCTCCTCCCATGCACAAATCCTTGAAGTTGATTTAATAGACAAACACTTGTTATGGAAGTCCTCTGCATTTACAGTAAGCCTTGTGCCAAATCCACCCTGCAGGAAAAATGTTGCCGTCTAAGCTTTCGCAAAATCCAGAAAAGCACAACAGAAATCAGGACGTGGTCCGGCAGGTAGAGCCTCGGCGTGGAAGCACAAAGCAGCGGTCGATCTCGCTCATGCCCTTGCTGTTGTGGAAGGGATGAAACGAGGCCGCCTTCGAGCTGGGTGAGGTCACTTTTTTTCCCTCTTCTCTTCTCCTCTCCTCCATTAATCATGTCTGTGCACATTAAAATGAGCTTAACCATTTATCCTGAGCAGTGCTCTACTTCCACTCAAGGACACCTTGCAAGCAGGTTTTCCCTCTGCGGATCTCCTCCTCCTCCTCTGCATCCAGCTAATGGACACCTTTCAGTCGGGATTCAGCTGAAAACTTTGCAGATGGAGCTTCATCCTTCTTTGTCAAGGCTGTCACTCATGTCTGCGTAGCATCATAGCAGTCGACGTTTATGCAAATCCTTTTGTCTTATTAAGAAGAAGAAAAAAAAACGTGGCTAAGAACTCATCCCTTGAGATTACCGACTACTAAACTACATAAAGTAATGATGGATAATGTAATATGTATGCTTATCAAAAACAGGATGATGAAGGGAAGGAGTGATGGRATGGAAGAGGAGAAGCCTCACAGGGAGGGGAAGAGGGAAGAAGAAGGAGGTAGAAAAGAAGTAACAAAGAGAGAGACTGAAAAAGAGAAAATGAGCTTGGTTCCCTTTGTGGCACAGTGCTTAACCACTTAATCATAGCCCGGTCTATAAATAGGCCTTCACAGACATGGAATATTGGGAGATTAATGGAAGAGAATAGCATGCCATAACGCTCGAAAGCTTTAACACTTCTGGTGCTCTTCAGTTTCGCAGATTTCATTTCATTTCACCACCACTGGCAGATTCTGCCTCTTCAGTTTTTTTTTATCATGAAAGGTAGAGAGGAAAAAAAAAACTTAGCAGATTGCACCCACTTTTCTACTCCGTCTCTTTATATTGTTGCTTTCTTCCACACAGAACCTGCTCGAAGACGGGCGCACACACTCAAAGCTAAATGGCACCAAAATGCAGAACAGTTGATGCAATGCAAACACTGGCAGACTACCCAAAGTACACAGGCTTCTCCAGAAATCAGGAGAGTGGGAAAGTTCTCCTTGCTTATTTGAAATTCTGTGCAGTGCGCCGCAAAGTTTTCTGCTATCGCCATCTCCTGTGGAAATGTTGACGGCGTCGAGGTAGCGGGAATCATCCTGTGCCTCCCAGCGCTTCGTGCTGTTTGTTTGCACTCACTGTGTGTGAGTTCGTTCTGGGTTTGCAGAATTGCTTTTTGAGGAAGCTACTGTGAAAGTGTTATTTAAACCAAAAAAAAGAAGAAGAAGAATGAGAGGCCATAGCTGCACCAAGCCTGCACCTAAAGCAAACAATTTTGTGCTGTAAGTGGAAAAAATACTGTCCGAAGATGAAACAACACAACCAATTACCTGTTCTGCCAGTGCTCAATAAGGTTGGCAGTGCTATAAAATTCTAATTTACTGACCTTTTTTCTTGTTTCCATGTTTCTGTCAAACAGCAACATTTCCTTGATCTGCATGTTACGGTCCCGGGGTCTAGGAAACCCAGGACGCACAACATATAATGTCCAGAGACAAAGGTGTTTGTAAAAAGAGCTCAAGATTTATTGTACGGACAAAACAGAGGAAGCCCCACTTCAAAAACAAAASAAAAACAGGGAGGAAACCCGAACCAGCCAGCAGTTGACCGTCAGATCCGGGCAACCTCCCCTTGCCCTCTGGTTCAGGGTCTCACCCTACAACCAAAAAACCGGAAAAAGAGGGGCTGGCAACTCTCAGGCCAAAACCAGGTATCTGCAAGGAGGAAAAAGTGGAGCGGCGGCGAGGCTGGAGCGCAGGACCAACAAGCAAACTTCTCCCCTCAGGCCGCACGCTCAGCTGTCAGGTGGAGCTCATTTCCTTTTATTATCCTCCCAGCCAATCAGCTGAAAGGAGAGGACATCAGACAATTAGACAGGTAAAAATGACACAGGGACATGTCACACTGCACATCCAATCAGTTCTGACAATCTGTTGGAATCACATATATCTGCATCTCCCACACACACACACACACACAAAAAAAAAAATAATAATTTTATGTTCGGCTGTAAACATTGTTTAACGAACGGAAGAAACTTGTAGAGAAAAATGCCATCTGCCTTTTTACCTCCGCCAACGGAGAGGTAATGTTTTCGGTTGGGTCTGTCTGTCTGTCTGTCTGTCTGTCTGTC